GCCATAGGCTCCCCGGATGAGGACCTGGGCAGAATTGGAAAAGTGCATTTTTTTTACCAGATGTAGGATGTAGTTACTTACGCAAACCCCGGGCCTCTGCGAGGAAGATGGGTTGTCTTCCAAGTCGGGCTGGGGCCCTGTCTGCCACTGGCAGAGGCCCTGGGGACAGACTGTGGGTGCCTCTCCCTCCTTCTTGCTGCCTGTCTGGGAGGCGTATGTGACACCTCCGCGTACTTTTCTCCGTTCTGTCTTGAGCGTTGGGAAGCGGGCTCCGTAGACATCCATGTCTGCCCCACGGGGCATGGTCCAGGCACAGAGCTGGGTGGAGCGTTCTGGGGGGTGGACATCTGCCTTCTCTCCCGAGTCCCTCCTGGCGGTGCTTGGGGTTTCATTTGCCTTTGTGGACAAACAGCTTGTAGGATTAGTCTCCCCAGGGGAGGGCCCTCTCTGACAGGGCACAGGGCCATTCCTGGGACATCTCGGCGCGTTCTGAGCTCTCCCTCTTATTTAAACAGCTTGTGTGATTTATATGTGACGGCATTGCCTCATATCGTGCTGGTCCGTCCGGTGAGAGGCTGGGCCCTTCCCGATTCTTAACGCAGGTGCGAAAGAACAGGGCCGGCTTCCATCCCCGAGCAAAAGCTGTCACCCAGTCTCCATGGAATGGGGTTCCTCCCCCGACCTCGGCCCTTCTTTCTAGTCCATCTCTGACTTGTGGCTGACACCGCGGAGCCATCAGAGCATCTGAGTGGAGCGTGTCCAGTGACGTTCCCCTCATACATTCTCGGCCACAAAATCCCTTTGCAGAAACCACGCTCTGTCGCCCCAAGTGGCTTGCTCCTGTCTCCTTCTGTGAACCTCTACTTCATTACCTATTCACACCCGCCCACCGTGAGGGACGTGACGCCCGGGCTGGAGTCACCCAGGTCCCCTCCAGAGCCCCTGACAGCTCTAGTACCGGGGACGACTGGCATCTGCTGAGCACAGACCCCGCCAGGCTCTGTGGGAACACGCTGAGCGTCTGCGCACGGCTGGTCCCAGTCGGCTCAGGCTGCTGTGACACACTCCACAGGCCGACATCTATTTCTCACGGTTCCGGGGGCTGGGAATCTGAGATCGAGGTGCCAGCAGACTCGGTATCTGGCGAGGGCCCACGTGTTGCTTCGTAGAGGGTGTCTCCTTGCTGTGTCCTCGCGTGGCGGGCGGGGTGACGGAGCTCCGGGGTCCTCTGTATAAGTGAGAGCACCATCTCCCTCGTGAGGGCACCACGCCCCCCCCCACTTGTTTACAGATGAGGAAACCCAGGCATGCCAGCGAGATCCCCGGGTCACACTGCCACTAAGTGACAAGTTGGAATTGCACCTGGTGTGAAGCCCATCAGGACACGCGCAGTCACTGGCCTCGTCGGCTGCCTTCAGTGGGTCGGGTTGTGACAGCCGAGGGGACACAGAACCTGCACGATCCTCCCGCAGCAAGCATATCAGTCCTCAAAGCAGATGTTTTCGGATGTCACAGCTGCGGGAAGGGTGTGTGGGGCCCAGCTGACTGCCGGTGTGTGTGGCGTGTGAACTCACACTCACCAGGGCCCATCGCTCATCGCTTTCCCCGCCCGCCTCCCCTCCCCCTCCCC